AGCGCAGGGAGGAGGAATAACTACCTTACTGACAAATAGTAGGTGCAGAAGAAATGGGTGAAGAAGGCATGTACATTTCTAGCGTATGCCTACTGATCTGTGTAACTAACTGGGTGACCGATGGGTCCGGGTCTCTGAGTGACTGTTAGCCCCGGGCTGGCTGGCAGGCCCACTGCCAGCCAGGATCTGGCTGACAGCGGTGGGGCAGCCGAACGACCCCGGCGGCTGCGACTGCGGCTGCCACGGACTGTCCCGCCCCGAGAACCGCTAGATCGCTGTCGATCGGACTGTGGCCTCTTCCCGTGCGCCCGCTGGCCGGGCGTCGCTGCCACCGCAGCCAGGTGCGGACGCCGCAGTCCCTCCCTCTCTGCGCCGGACAGGGGTCCCCGACTCCCCGCGGCCGCAGCCGGGAACAATGAGGCGCCGGCTTCTTTAAGGGAGATACCACCGCGCCGGCGGGGCAGGGGACGGCGCCTTCCCAGAAGATCGCACCCAGCCCCGCACCGCCGCCGCCTCGGCAACTGCACCGCCCGCAAACATGGCTCAGTGACTTGGACAAAAGGTGCATCCTCCCTCCAGGCGGGGCGCACGCCAGGCCTCCCAGCTCGGGCCGCGCCTCCCCGCAGGCCCGCCAACGAGCTCCGCGTCAGGCAGGCACCCGAGGCCCGTGCCGAAGAAGATGCACCAAGCGTTCCACCCCAGCGACCCCCGCACACCAGCCCGCAGCTCGGTAGAGTGGAAGGGGGGTGGGGGGAGGGAAAACTGCAGCCCGGCGCGCGCAGCTACAGGCCCGGACCTGCCGCTGCAGACAATTCCCGGGGCCGCGGGCCCTGCGCGCCTGCTGCAGCTGGAGGGCGACCGAGCCCGGACGTGGAATGGCCTTCCAGCTCCGAGGCCCCGCCACCCCTGCGGGGAGGGGCTTCAGTGGCGCACTCTGGAGCGCGCACACCTCCCGCGACTCCGCGCTCCGCAGAGCCACGGCAGAGTGGAGGAGGCGATCGGAGCGCCGGGCGCGCGCGCCCACTGGGCGGTGCTCCACGTCCGGCTCGCGCTACGGAAAGCCGGAGGGGGGCGGGGCCGCCCAGCGTAAGGGGGTGTGTCCGCGCGCACCACGGGGGCGCGCGCCGGCCTCTGACTGGAGGCCGCGGCGGCGGAGGCGCGAGCTGCCCGATAATGGCGGCCTGCAGAGCCCGTGAGAGGGAGAAGAGGCGGCGGCTACCCTGAGGTAAATCTGGCCCTTCGGCGTGGCAGAGAGGCCCTGCTGCAGAGCCAATGGCCCTGCATGTGCCTCCTTCCCCAGGAGGCCTGTCACAGACCTGTCAGCGGCGTCATCCCGGGGAAGGCCCCGCGCCCCTCAGGCCACCGGCCCCAGCTGCGGCCTCCTCTCACACCAGGGCTACCTCCCCAAGCCTCGGCCCTCAGCCCTCAGGCCCGAGGAGTTGAGGCAGCTGCAGGGTTGACACCTCGGGGTGAAGGGCCTGGGGATGATCCCCTCAGGGTTTCATCTGATCCTGGCCGAGGAGGGGGAGGGCCTGATACTTGGCCAATGAGCGCGGCCTGAGCCGCCGCGTCGGGCAACACCTCTGGCCGGGACTGGCCCTTCCCCGGCACCAGCAGGTGTATGGCCTGGCCGGCCCGGTCCGAGCGCTGGCTTAGCAGGGCAGGCACGAGGACCCGGGAAATGCCCTTAGGTTCGCACTGATGCATCATTTAATGCAGGATCCTATAAACACCTTCCCTCCTCCTCATACAGGAAGGTGCTCTTTCCTTTGGGGATTATACCAAACTGGAGAGGATATGGGACTGCTTCAAAGAAACCAGTAATTGGCGATCCACACAGAGCAGAGCAGAAAGAAGGCTGTGTAGTTGGGGCAGAGGATTCTATGACAGACACTAGGAAATACAGTAGGAATTTGAAGGGTAGGTGTTCAATTAGAGGAAGTGGAACTAAAAGCAATCTCTGAAATGGCCATTTTAAAATTCTCTTTCTTTCTTTCTTTTATTGAGAAAGGGTCTTCCTCTGTTGCCCAGGCTAGAGTGCAGTGGCGTCATCATAGCTCGCTGCAACCTCAAATTCCTGGGCTCAAGCAATCCTCCTGCCTCCGCCTCCCCAGTAGCTGGGACTATAGGCCCGTGCGACGATGGCCAGCTAAATTTTATATTTTTTGTAGAGATAGGGTCTAGCTCTTGCTCAGGCTAGTCTCGACTTCCTGAGCTCAGGAGGTCTTCCCTGTTTGGCCTCCCACTTAAAGTAGCTGTTCCCAATTTCTCAGGCTGTAGAGCCTGAACATTTTTGTTTCCCCAGCTGGAAAATATAAATATTATACAATCTCATGTTACTTTTCTTGCCCATGGTGACAGTCTACAAATGAGACTTTGTTCCTTAAGCACGTTAGAATCTTGAAATTCTTTCGGGAGTGAGGAGCCACTCTTTAGACTTTCTCCATTCAACACATGCATTTCTTCCAAGGGCCTTTGGTCCTTCATTGAATTATCAATTTGCTCCTTCAAAGGACTTATCAAGTTGATTTCCAAAGATCTCTGTCAGAGAGCCCCTTGATGGGTAGGATGGTTTTTGTTGGCAAAAATGACCTAGAACTAAATAGCTATTGTTAAATAATAACAAAAAGGGAGCTGTATTCTAAGTAGCTTACTTTATTTTTAAAGTAACATTTCTTCACAAACTTTATTTTCATTTATTTTGCAAGAAATAAACAAAATTAAAATATGAACATATATAGATTGGCCATTTACTTTTAAATAACAGCTAAACGTTTTCAGTTCTATAAGTTCACTTTCAGTCCTTAAGCATAAGCCAGGTGTTGGTATTTCTCACTGTGAGAAGTTTTTTGTTTTTGCTGTTTTATCACCTTTTATGCATATGTCAGCCTTAGGAGAAGCTGGGTTTTGCTTCCTTATTTTTGTTTTTTACCATGATCAGTTAGAAGGCTGAATTTTTTGGCTTATTTTTAACAGTGATGTTTTCAATCATTTGAAGAAGCAGTATAGTGTAGTGCTTACAATTGTGGAGATCTGAGTCAGATGGCCTGGTTTCAAATCTCAGGTCCATCCATAACTAGTTGTTTGACCATGGGCATTTTACTTAACCTCTCCATGCTTTAGTTTCTTCATATATGAAATGACCATAGTAGTACCTACCTCATAAGATTATTGTGAGGATTAAATAACTTTAGTATTATAAAGTGCCTGAAACAATGCTTGATATATGGTATGTACTACATAAGTGTTAACTTTATTATTATTAAAATTAGATTTGCAAATATCCTTTACTGCAGACAATGAGACAGACAACTAAATCATATAGAAGAGGAAATACAAGCATGTAGATATACTTAATTTCAACAGAGCACTTTGTTGGTTTTTCCAGAAACCTCGACCTTGAAGATGGTGAGTAGCCAGCCAAAGTACGATCTAATACGGGAGGTAGGCCGAGGTAGTTACGGTGTTGTGTATGAAGCAGTCATCAGAAAGACCTCTGCACGGGTGGCAGTGAAGAAAATTCGATGCCACGCACCTGAAAATGTTGAACTAGCCCTTCGCGAGTTCTGGGCACTAAGCAGTATCAAGAGCCAACATCCAAATGTGATTCACTTGGAGGAATGCATTCTACAAAAAGATGGGATGGTGCAAAAGATGTCCCACGGCTCTAATTCTTCCCTTTATTTACAGGTATGTGTTGTTGAATGGGATATAGAAATGACTTGAACATAGCATTGGTCAAAAAGAAGAGGAATGAAAGTGTCAGATGCTAGGCTTTCTTTAAATGCAGGTGTTTTGTAGTTAGAAGATAAGGGTCTGCCAAGAATTGAGACATTTGCTTTAAAACAGGTTTTACTTAAACCTGTGATGCACATACCTAAAAATAATGTAAGCCACCTGTTATGCATTGGTATTTGCCAGTCTGCATAGGAAAAGGGCAAGATAAAAGCTAGGGAGGTGCTTGAGACTAGAGTCTAATAAGTTCACTTCTTTGAAATCAATGTTTTTGGAACTGAAGATAGAAGAAAAGGAAAAACTTCACAACGAATAGCAACACCCATAGGTAATTTGACATTTCTTTTATAAATCACTGGTTTATTAGAGGGGTATGTGGTTTCTTCACCATGCAATTCCAATTAATTTTCATAAAGCATGTGGTTTAACACCTGTATTTTTTTAACAGTGTTAATAGCTAACATTTGAGTTCCTACTTGGTTCCATACTCTGTGCTGAGTGCTTTAAAGGCAGTTGCTCAAAACAATACCATGAGGAAAGTGCTATTATTATCTTCATTACAGATGAAGAAACTGAGGCTTAGATTAGATAATGAATTTATCCAAAGTTGCATAGCTAGTAAGTGGCTGAACCTAAAACTATCTGGCAGCTAAAGCTTATGTTCTCTTAACTCCTCCCAAGTTACTCTTTTGTAGACTTAGGGAAATCATTAATATAGGAAAATGAAAACGTTTTGGGCCTTTTTTTTTTTTTTTAGTTTGGCTTCTGCCATAAATTAAAATCTATAGTAGCTCTATATTAACTGAACAGAAAAGATACTTATGACATAACTTGTTAGAAGCCGGGGCAAAATTTCTTCAGGCTAGTCATTCTTGGAAAAGGAAACAACTTTCCTTGAGTGTGTCTAAGTTCAGAATTTACCATCAGACTTTTACCATTTAAAAGTCTTTCTTTTGGCCGGGCGTGGTGGCTCATGCCTGTAATCCTAGCACTCTGGGAGGCCAAAAAATAGAACACAACTATTTAGCCTCTGTTGATTTTGTTGACTTTTCTAACAGTGCTTATTATATAAGTTGCACTGATGAAAAATACTGGAGGCAGGTGCAATGGTTCACACCTGTAAACCCAGCACTTTGGGAGGCTGAGGCAGGTGGATCATTTGAGGCCAGGAGTTTAAGAGCAGCCTGGGCAAAATAGCAAGACCCCCATCTCTGCAAGACAAAAAAAAAAAAAAAAAAAAATAAGCCGAGCATGGTGGCACCTGCCTATGGTCCCAGCTACTTGGGAGGCTAAGGCAGGAGGATCACTTGAGCCAAGGAGCAAGGTTATAATGAGCTGTCGTTATTCCACTGCACTCCAACCTGGGTAACAGAGTGAGACTCTGTCTCAAAAAAAAAAAGAAAAAATGGAAACATTCTTTCTCTTCCCCCACCCCACCCCCATTTTTGGAGTATCTAAAGATACATTCTCTTTTAAAAGTGGATAGAATTTTGCTGAACTTTGCATGGAGTTTTAGAGACTAAGGTTCATAATCTCATTTGGACTAAAAAAGCAAAGACATTTAAACATATGACTTAGTGCTGAGTCTAGATCCAGCAGTTGGGCATTAGCTGGTCTTTCAAAGTTTTAAGATGTAAAGTATTACCAGGCTTGATTGAGTAATTTTTATAGCTAAAGCACCTTTTTGTTTAGTAAATCTCTTTCATCTAAAGCTTAAAGCCTGTGTCTGACTTGTGGCACTTTTTGCTAGCTCAATGACCTTGGATAAATAACTTTTCCCAACATCTGTTTCTTCATATGTAAAATAGTCTCTACCTTCCACAGGAGTTGTTAAAATTAGAGGTGATACAGAAATAATACTTGGCACGTAGGAAGTACTCAGTAATAGGTATCTCTATTAAAATTGTCTTTTCTATGGATTTATTTAGTTGACTTCAGGAAGTCATCAACACATTGAGCAAGTACCTTCTCTAAATTTACATCTAGTAAAGAAACATTTTTACATCTAGTAAGACAAATCTATAGTATGAACAGAGTCCCTATGCATGGTCTTCTCCATTCTCTATACAAATTTTTATTTTTCTGTTTTTCCAGATCTTCTTCCTTGTTCTCAGTTGGCATCATTAAATCAGTTCCCGTTAGCTATAAACTTCACCTACAAGAAAATGTAAAACACTTAACAGATTACAGTTTCATACATAGGATCCTAGTGGCTAGTCTGTATACTCGTGATAAGTGTCATGAATGAGAAGTACATGATGGCATAGGAACATATAATAGGGAACCTGACATAATCCTGAGGTTCAATAATTATGAATTATTTGTAACTTGTAAAGAGGAGTTAGGTAGACAAGTGAGTGAGAAAAACTTCCCAGGCAGAAAGACCTATACATACAAAAGTCATGAAGCAAAAAGCATGAAGGGTTTTAAGAATTGAAAGAATGGGTAATAAGACTATGGTATACAGGGAGGATTATTTTAGATGAGGCTAGAAGGGTCAGCAGGAGTCAGCACAGAGCACCCAAGATCCCATCACCCATGTTAAAGAGCTTGGACTATATCCTAAGAGAACAGGGAAGCAATTGAAGGACTTTTAGGCAAGAGAACCAATGGTAACATCCTCTACATGTGAAAATAAGCAGATTGGACACTGCACTATTGTAGCTCTCAACCAGAGGCCCATGGCCTGGATGCTAAAAATAATTTTTATATTTTTTACAAATTGTAAAAATTAAAAAAGGAAGAAAAATATGGGACAGACAACTTATATGGCTTGTCAAGCTTAAATATTTACTATCTGGCCTTACTCTAAACCATTCTTTGAATGCTGCCACTCTATTGCGCAAAGCTATTTAGAAAGTTTGCTTTTGAGAGTAAAGACAGAAGAAAAGCATGTTTAGTAACTGTGCAGCTAGTAAATAAATATGTGATCTTTACCTTTCTGTTCTTTCATTTTCTCTGTTGCACTGCATACACATGCAACAAAAAATATGCAAGAGACATCTGCAGACCATTGCAGTTACTAATGTCTACCATGTAGGGAGATGACATGGAGGGATATTCTTTGCTTCTGCCCACCTAAAGGCAAGAGGAAGTACCAGTAGATTTAAATGTAAAATTAGCATTTCACTCACTCTTCAACAACTCTTCAGCTTTTTCTTTTCAACAATAGGTCTGAAAAGGACACCATACAACAAATGCTTTTATAACACTGTACACCTATATTTTAGAGTGGTAGTTTGTGTCAAGTAATATTATTGAATTTCAAGTAATAGAATTATAATTAGACAATAATAACAAAACAGTGATATATTACAGATTTTAAGCTTGTATGAAAGAAATATACATATTCAGACTTGAATTTTTACATCAAAATGCAAATTTGATTTTTATAAATTGGTTTTAAAAAGTCATCCAGTGATATAGATAGCCAACATATTTGTATTCTACCTGTACATGTTTATGAGGTAATGATGTTAGTCTTTCTTTTAACAGCAACTATAAGAACACTTTATTTCTGCAACAACTAGTTGTACCTTGATCATTTTTCTCTCAATTTTACAGGTTATATAGTGTATGTGCAATGAACAAGAAGTGTATTTCAGGCACTTTCATTGAGTAGAATTTCCTAATTGAAATTTATACCTTAGCTGGCAATCTCCTAGGTCTGTCTGCTGAAACTTTGGTCTTTTCATGAAGCTATGAGGTAGGTTGGTAGAGTTCAGCTCCATTGACACATGCAGAAAATCTATGGCCAGTTAGATACTTCAAAATCGTGCTTTTAAAATACTTACCTCTTGGCTTGGAGGTTTGGTGTGTATTCATTAGGGACAAATAGACAGTTTACATTTTTTTTTTTTTAATACATAGTCTGACTCTGTTGCCCGGGCTAGAGTGCCATAGCATCAGCCTAGTTCACAGCAACCTCAAACTCCTGGGTCAAAATCCTCCTGCCCCAGCCTTCCGAGTGGCTGGGACTACAGGCATGCGCCACCATGCCAGGCTTTTTCTATTTTTGGTAGAGATTGGGGGGGGGTCTCACTCTTGCTCAGGCTGGTCTCGAACTCCTGAGCTCAAGCTATCCTTCCACCTCAGACTCCCAGTGTGCTAGGATTACAGGTGAGAGCCACCACACCTGGCCTAGTTTGAAGTATCTTAAACTGAAGTTTAAAATAAAATGTACATATGAAAGCACTTACCAAATAAAATATGCAAGGAGTTTCTACTTAAAACTGGAGACTGATTTAACCTTTGAATCAGTTACTCTTTTTCTATAACTGAATTGTATAACCTGTCAGATGATTGTAATCTGTATTTTTTCTTTCTTGTAGCTTGTAGAGACTTCATTAAAAGGAGAAATTGCCTTTGATCCCAGAAGCGCCTATTATTTGTGGTTTGTGATGGATTTTTGTGACGGAGGAGATATGAATGAGTATCTGTTGTCCAGAAAACCCAATCGTAAAACTAACACCAGCTTTATGCTTCAGCTAAGTAGTGCCCTGGCCTTCTTACATAAAAACCAGATCATCCACCGAGATCTTAAGCCTGATAACATCCTGATTTCTCAAAGCAGGTTGGATACCAGTGACTTGGAACCCACACTGAAAGTGGCTGATTTTGGTCTAAGTAAAGTCTGTTCAGCCTCTGGGCAGAACCCAGAAGAACCTGTCAGTGTAAACAAGTGTTTTCTTTCCACGGCATGCGGAACAGATTTCTACATGGCTCCTGAAGTGTGGGAAGGACATTACACAGCAAAAGCTGATATCTTTGCTCTTGGGATTATCATCTGGGCAATGCTGGAAAGGATCACATTCATAGACACGGAGACAAAGAAGGAACTCCTAGGGAGTTATGTAAAACAAGGAACTGAGATTGTGCCTGTTGGGGAAGCACTTCTGGAAAATCCTAAAATGGAACTTCTCATTCCTGTGAAGAAAAAGTCTATGAATGGGCGAATGAAACAACTGATTAAGGAAATGCTGGCTGCAAACCCTCAGGATCGTCCAGATGCTTTTGAACTAGAACTCAGATTAGTACAAATTGCGTTTAAAGATAGCAGCTGGGAAACGTGACACATATTATTTGCAAATATCTTGGATGATATGCTGCTTCTGTTTTCACAGTGATGCAACATTATATGGCTGAAAAAGAATATAAAAAGCTAAACACCTTCTAAGGGTTTAGATTTTGTGGGGTGTGTTTTTTTTTTTTTCCCTCATTTTTCTTAAATCCAAGCTGGCCATTTTATTAGTATGTTTTAAATGTATATTACCAATGTGGGTGTAAATTTTTTTTTAGAAGTTTGGCAGGAAAATTCTCTAAGAGCCAAGAAAAGAAGAGAGTCCAGTTTTCTGGAAATATGTCTCTAAGTATTTTAGACATTCCTCATCAGTATTAGGAATTTCCATGGAAGAAGAGGTTTGCATGCTGGTAATGCAACCTTTGAAACTTTGTAAAGGAAACATATATGTATATATTTATGTATATGTAAGTATGTGAATGTGTGCATTTTGCATTCCATATGAAGAAAATGCCACTTCTGTTTAAATTATTTGATGTAGGTTTGGGTTTTTGAGATTTGCTGGTGAAAGCAGTGATGAAAATAAAGGAACCTTCCCTCATCTTCCTACCCTGTCCTCCCTCTAATTAAATCATATTAAGTTTTTTTTTTCTATTTTTGTAATATTATACAACTTTTTTAAAAGGCATCATTTTGGAGGGTCTAAAATTATCTGATTAAACATAAATGAAATTAAGTGATCCAAAGCTGCTGAAGTATGTTTGCGCTCTCCAGTGCCCTCCCTGTAGCTGCAAAAGTTGAATTAGTCACACAGTCATATGGTAGCAGGTTGCCAAGGACATTGGTGATTCAGTCAGACTTTGTTCAGGTAACTGAGCATTTATTTAACCAATTAAACCACTGAATTGGGACATGACTACACTTGAACTTTTATAATCTGATATAAATCTGAACACAGGATTCTTCTGTTTCTGAAAACTTTGCTATATATGAACTATAATACTTGATATATTAATTTTTGGTTTCAAGACTTTGTCTAAACCTCAGCATAAAGTTGAAACCAAATGAGCTCTACCCTCACATTGCCTGCCCTGATATGGTCTCTTATTGAATCACTGGAGTTCCTTTCATTTTGGCACTGATGCTGTTTTCTCTTGTCTAATTTGAGAAAGTAATGGTAGTGATATGGTTGTCTTAAATGCTGACACCTTTTTCTAATGCAGGACGTGATACCTATACAGTGTGGCAAATGGGTAAAATACTGTGGCAACAACGACTTTTCAAGTAGAAGAGTTATTGATTTTATACAATCACTTGGTATGGTCTCTGTCAAAAACCAATAGTCCATTATTCCTCTGGAAGTTAGTTTAACTTTATATGGTTGTCTCCAGTTTGTTTTCCTGTAAAAGCAGATAGTTAAAATCTAAGGAAAGAATGCTTTCCTAAAGCAAAACATTAGCCTTTAAGGTTAAATAGACTTTATGTTCTATTTGGGTTAATCTTCATAAAGCACTAGAGTCTTTGGTCAAAAGTCAAACAAAATAGTATTAGCATATGGAAATTATCGATAGTTTGCATAATGTCAGCTTTTTTGAATTTACTTTTGGAATATTGCTATCATAATTTTTCCCCATTTAAAATGTGTTCAGAGGACAATAGAAAGCAAACACAAAAACATTATAGTATGTAAAATTTCTGGACTATGTTATATGATCTGGAAGTTTAAAATTTGGACTGAAAGGTTTTATTGAAATAAAGCCTCTTAAAATGAAAAATCTCATACCTTTACCGTCACTTTCAAACTAATATAAGAATTCTTTTAGAAATGAGAGGTGGAAATACACTGAAGCCTCATAATAGTTGACCCTCCGGAGCACCAAATTAGTTTAACACAGATCTATCTAAAAGAATTGTGTTAATGTGGGTAAGAAAAAGCATCATTATGATGTCAATAATGGGGCACTTCAGCAGATATTCATAGGTGACAGTATGCCACCTCTTCAAATATCTATGTGCTTGGAGCCATGGTTTTCTGAGTACATGGTTTTTAGTCCTGCCTTATTTAAAATAGTTTATTTACTTTGAAAGATTTTATAATATCTATGAAGTAAAATTCTTTCTTTCATTGGAGGTAAGGGTATGAGGTGATCAGGAAGTTTCTTCCTGAATTTTCTCAAGTCCTTGTATTCTAAAATAGCCTATGATACCAAGCAAAATGATAATAAATTCTTCATCTTTCTTCAGTCAGAGGTATTTATTAAGTACCTACTGTGTGCTCAGCACTACAGATCATTTAATAAAATGACAATTAAAACATGGCATTTAGCCGCAGGCCTTTTCCAGCCAGGAGTAAGAAATAAAAGATGAATAGCAATATTTGGAAATTCCTGGGTATTTGCTAGAGGAAGAATGGAAGCAAGACTTTGTGCACAGTGCCTTGCCCATAATAGGTACTCAATAAACGATTATTCCTCATAGAGTCTCTTGCTATGGTTTATAGTGTTTTATGAAATTTGTCTTAATTGAAAAAGACCAAATATTTCAGATAAGCTTATAGGCAGCTGTGGCCAGTTAAAATATGGGGTTGTACAGTTAGTTCCTAGAACGTTATTTTGCACTAGTTGTCACTTAGAAAGATGGGGTTCCTGTAGATTTATGGTGCTAAGGGATACTTTGTCATTATGATGAAGTAAGTGTTAAGTGTCAGATAAATAGCACACAGAATAGTTCTTTCTGCTGGTCTGTTTTTTCTCTTTGTTGTTGTTGTTTTAAATTGTAAATTGTTATCAATCAAACTATTGTAGCAGCTACAAAATAACTCACCAGCATGACAAATGGTCAAAAAATAAGTCATCAGCACTTCAGAAATGAAAGCAACTTTTGAAATTTTCTTTTAAAATTGTCAAATATATTTTATGAAGAATTTATAAAAGGGGAAAATGATTGTAATTTATTGTTCATGACAGTTTTTTTTTTAATAAAGTGAGTTTCAACAAAAAAAAGTGAAAATTCTACATTGCTGCTCTGGTGGCTCTGTGAGTACTTCTGTAGTGCTTTACTTTCTGAGCATAAAATAGAGGGTATAAATTTTGAAACAATGTATTTTCAGATTTATTAAATGATTCTGAAATAGAAGCTATTGCTGAGGAAAAGATCATTGAATTACAGGAGTTTCAGTATTTCAATTTCTATAAAATTTTAATACTATCTCACTGCATTTACTTTTTATATAAGAACTTGTATTGCCTAAGATAATTTTTTTTTCCATTTATCCTTCTATTTCATTAAGTGGAGGATGCATCCCAAACTCAGAATGATGTATATTAAATGTACTAAGAGGATGCAATTTTTCAATCTGTGATGTGACACCATGGCTTCTTTTCTATTAAAAAAAGTCATCTATCCCACTGTTTTTTCTTTTATAGGTGTTATGAATGCCTGGGGACACAGTCCACTTAGTGGTCCAATGAAACAGCAGAGGGAAATGGAGACAGAAAACATTACCCGTGATCTAGTGACTATAAAAGTAGGCATCAGGAATTGTGGCTTCTGACTCCGCCACCCTCTCCTGATTTAGCCTTTGTGGAAAGGCAAATTTTGCTTTCTATTTAGAGATTAATTTTTTAATTGAATCTTTGTACTTACTAGCATTTTTATAATCCTTTGCAGTTTATAAAGCACCTTCACGTGGTTTTTACATGTCTTTTCAGTGAGTTTTACTGAAAACGGGCAAATTTCTTGACGAATTAACAGTAACACCAGTTGCTGAGGTAATAATAATGGTTTTACCCCAGGACAAGGTTTTAGTGCCTAATCTCTTGACTCCAGTTGGAGTTTTCTCTAACAACAAAGCTTTATCTTTCTCACTGAAGTAATGACCCTTGGTTGTTTTGGTGTTTCCTTTAAATTCAAATGTTGCTCTCCTGTCGACCAATCATAGACATCCTCTAAAGTGCAGTGTAATGACAGACAGTTGGTTTGTGGTTAGATAATAACTCCTACTTGAGAAAATCTACTAGGCAGCCACACCTCTTGAAGGCAAAGTGCGTCTTTTAAAGGCAGTACTTTCGCCTTTGCAATGACTTTTCATTGGTTAGAAGGGAATTGTAAAAAGAAAAAAAAAAAAGACCTGAGCTTTTGACTTTCCTCTTTCATTTCCTGTTCAGTCTGGTATTTCAGGTTTAGCTTGTTCTGAACAGAAGTTAGGCAACTTGATATTACCAAAGGCATCGTGGTCTAGCAGGAAAAGCACAGGCTTTGGTGTAGCAGATCTGAGGTTTAATACCAGCTTTTGCAAATGTCTACATAATGTGTTGGCATTGGACAAGTCATTTCCTTCTGAGACTCAGTTTCCATATCTGTGAAATGGAGATGATATTTACATATCAGAGTTTTTGTAAAGGTCAGAGATCATACACATAAAGTGGCTAGCATAGTGCCTAGCACATTAAGTTCTCAAATGGTAGCACTGTCATTGTATTCTGATTTTAATGACAAAATGAGTGAATGAATGGATTCCCCATGAGCCAGTCTTTCCTTGTAGCTTTGGTTTTCCTACCCTTTGGGAGAACCTGATGAAGGCACTATATCCTCTCCTCACAAAATATTTGCCTATAATTTCAGGGGATTTATGGATCTTAGAAGCCCACATGGACCCTGAGTTAAGGGACCCTAAGCTGTAAGCTCCACTAGGTACCTCTGTATACCTCCTAGAGCTCCTAAATCAAAAGTGGGCCACAGGCCAGGTGCAGTGGCTCACACCTGTAATCCTAGCATTCTAGGAAGCTGAGGTGGGAGGATCACTTGAGGTCAGGAGTTCAAGACCATCCTGAGCAAGAGCGAGACCTCCTGTCTACTAAAAATAAAAAAATTAGCCAGGCATCTTGGCACTTAATGTGATTTGGGAGGCTCCTGTAGTCCCAGGTACTCTGGAGTCTGAGGCAGGAGGATCACCTGAGCCCAGGAGTTTGAGGTTGCTGTGAGCTAGGCTGATGCCAGGGCACTCTAGCGACAGAGTGAGACTCTGTCTCAAACAACAACAAAAAAAAGTGGGCCATGCATGAGACTTCTAGGGAACCTATATTATTTTGGTTCTTGATCTGGGTGCTGGTTAGACAGGTGTGTTTACTATGTGAAAATTCATCAAGCTGCACTTAAAATTTTTTTGCACTTTTCTCTAGGTATGTTATACTTCAATAAAAATTTTATTTTTTAAGAATGTGCATTGGGGCTAGAGACTACCATGACAATTGTCAGAGGCAGAAGGAAAGGACAGAGACTTTGAAATCAGACCCTTTACTTTTCTGTTACTAGCTGTGTGCCTCATGAGTTACCTAACCTCTCAAATCTATAGTTTCCTCAGGCTTAAATACGGATAGTACCTGACTCAGAGCAGGGTGAGTGAAAGGAGCTGATGCATGTAGAAATGCATGACATACTCAACTATGTTATTGCTTCCCATTCCTGAGGAGGACTCACAGGAAGCCACCCTGAGCTGCCTTTGCTGCTAATTTGTACTGCTGATAGATACCATGTTGGTTTGTTTCATTTAACTTACATTTTTACTACAATTATTAGAGAATTATCTTATATTCTATTACTATAATGTCCTGCCTTTCTTTGCCCTGCAGCCCTCTGCAGGTATTAAGTAAAAATCTCCTTAGCCTAGTTCTCTTTCCTCTTTGTATTTGCTGATAACATAGTTGATAGTCATTCAGGATGTCTGCTGTCTTTTCAACAGATGTCTCACTATATTGCCCAATATATGTTGGTCTCCAACACCTGGCCTCAAGTGATCCTCCCACCTCAGCCTCCCAAATAGCTGGGACTACAGATGTGAGCCACAGCACCCAGCTTGCACATTAGAATTTTAACCTGGAGAGGGTAAAAACAAGAAGCCTGATGACTTCTGCTTCTAGCCAGATGGAGTAATAGGGCCTAGATTTCTCTACCTGCCTTAAACAACTAAAATGCCAGACATTGGACAACTAGCAGTGCAGGACAATGATACCTGGTAGAAAAGAATCAAATGAGGTGAGCCCTGTGGTTGCCCCAACTCACTTCCTGGAGAAGATCTTTAAGCCACTACACAGGGAAGCAATACCTAAATAGTCCAGCAATCTCCTTGAGAAGACAGAGTTCAAAGTTCAGAGAGGTGAAGCCAGCTAGAATTCATGGGGCAGAATATCAGAGACAGAGGGAGAGAGGAACAAAAAAGAGTTCCAGACATTTGTAGGAAGTTTTCTTCAAGATATTGGTACTAGTCAGCTCATGCTTTGGAGGAAATTACTTGACCTGAGAGCAGGAAAGATAACCTGAAACGATTAGGCAGAACAATCCTTGGAACTCACACAAAGCCAAGAATAATTGATATTTCTACCAGCTGGAATGGAAAGACCTTCTAATACACGGGGCATCACAGAAGAGTATTTTCTCAGTGGTGAGGGCAAGACTAAAGGCTAATCTGGACCCTGCCTAACAAAGCTTAAAAGTTGTCTTGACAGGTATTAGAAGACAAAATTACAACAAATTTGGTTTAAAGATCTGAATTGGGTTTTATTTGTGATTCTAGAATCAGGCTCATTCTGTAAAATCGTGAGTGTTCCAACGAGCCAAGCAGAGGAGGTTGATTTTATAGACAGAAAAGGGCTGAAGGAAAGCAGAAACAGAACAAAAAATGGATTGTTTCAAGTTACTTTCCTTATAGGGTTAAAACAGAGAGAACTTCATTATCATGCCAGCTCAGGTAAACTTGGACCCCTTTCGATTAGTTGCCATGAATCTTCTGTTTGGAAAACTGGCCTGTGTCAGAGTTTAGTTTGATTATGCAGCACCTAGCATGAGTGACTCCATTCTGGTTCAGTCTGGT